CCCCCGTCGACTCCGGTAATCCTGCTCGCCGCGAGGAGTACGCGGAGTCGACGGGGGAGCCTGCCTGCCGGGTGTGGACTGCGGTAAGTTCGAAGTAAGGTACGTCGACTTCAGCTACGTTATTCACGTAGCTGAAGTTGCGTACCTTACTTCGATTTGGGGGTTTAGTGTAGACCAAGCCTTAGAAAAACAACTTTAAGTCATTTGGGGGAGTGTTTTACATTTCTCGGTTTTATTTTTTCCTCTCCTTTTGTGCATTTTATAGTGGAACTCACATTAACTAAGGCTTGGAAGGTGGAGGGATACAAAAATAGTCCCAATAAAAATATGTTACAAGTATACCTAAAATTATTTTTCTGTAAGATGTGGCACATACAAAAGATGTAATGGTGTGGTGTGACCTGGGGATTTGATCAGCACTCATTTGAGGTGCTCCACAACACAGGCCATTCCCAACTCCTGCTGATCAAATCTTCATTTCTCACAATCATGTATTCCCTATAGATAATGCTATGCACTGGTGTGCCATCAGCTTTTGAAATAGGAAAACATTTCATTCCTGAAAATGAGTTATATATGAAGTGTATCTAGAGGCCTGTCTTTTGTGATAGAAACAAATGAAGGAACAGAAGCATCCTCCACTTTGAAAGGCACCTGATTTATTTCCCAGCTTGCGAGAGAGACAACTTCTGGATTTAGCAGGGGGTTTTAATCCTAGATAAAAAGAATCATTTCAATTTTGATTTCAGCTCTTGGGCCTTTTCTTCTAAAGTGAGATAAGCTACACTGGATTTTTTGTCTCTCTAGGCCCCAATTCAGCAGTGCACTTAAGCATGTGAGTAACCCTATTGAAGGCAAGGTTAGGCACATGCTGAATCTGGGCCCTAGTTCACTTCTGTGGGCCAGATCCAGCAAGTGCTCAATGCATGGAGCTGTCGCTGAATTCTGGCAGTTGAAGGTGTGTCTACATGATAGACTTGTGAGACCAAGACCCTTCACTTCAGACTTGATGATCTGTAAACTGTTAAATCGTTCACATTTCATTCTATTCAATTCTTCTCACCCTACTCAGAATGCAGGTTTTACAAGCAGCCTCCATTTCTTGTCTTCTGCTGGCATACAATGTCCCCATATCACAGTGCATTAGTTAACTCTGTGGCATGGCATAGTGTTATATTCTGAATATTCAGTTCATTTAGATGGTTGCTGAGGACTTTCCATTCCTGTGATTGTAAAGGACCCTAGGAAGAAATGGTCATTTGATTAGCATAGCTTTCAAGTTTTCATTTTTACTCAAGGTTCTCTTTACAGTGTGTTCTCTCCAGAGAAAAGCCATGTGATTTGGCAAATTGCATTGGTGACACTGGTTGATTAGTTTCTACAAGGTACCAGTCATGCTTTCCATGCATATCCCAAACTTCCAGTGAGGTCAATAGGAGTTTTGAGAGTACACATAATACTCAGCACTTCCCCAACATGCCAGCTGGGGATCAGATGAACAATAAGAAAGAAAAGAAAAATATATTATTTCCTCACTGCAATGTACTGCATATTGAAATAGTGAGTAAAGAGAATGGAAGGAGGAGTAAAGAAGAATGGAGTGAAATCTTAAGAGAACAGTATAAATCCACCAAAGAAAAGTAATCCAATCTCTGATCCAGATCCTCAGGTGGTGTAAATTAACACAACTCCTGACTTCAATGGAGCTACTTCAGTTTACACCAGCTGAGCATCTGACCTTCCGAATCCAAAATAATGCTCTCCTCTAGAAAGCTCCTAACCTGCCGTGAACTGTCCCATTTTTTTGTAGACAACATTTGTGTCATCCACAGATTATGTTAATTTAGTGGTGGGCCTGTACTATTGACCCTACTTTCTAGACTCTGCAAACAGAGTAAAGATCCCAAGGCTAAAGATAGGAAAAGCCATCTACAGTTATGGGTTGCATAGGCCTCCATCCACTAGCAAGTCCAAAGCTTTCCATTTGTTCTCAGAGCTCAAACACACCAGGAGTTTGCCCAGGCTGGTGGCTCCATGGAGCACTTTTCTGTATACTTTGCAGAACACGCTCAGGGCCTAGTCGTTGACTGGAATGCTCAGGGCTACTACTTGCATAAAATCAGGATCAGGCCGTTTGCTCACTACTTCTTATGAGGCAACTGCTACTTCCTGTGCTCTAGTGGATCATTTAGCGCTTGCTTACTCGCAAACAAGATGGGATACATTGAGTGTAAAGGAATCTAGTGGTCCCAAAAACAACATACTTCACATGCTGTACACATAGCAGCCATTTTCCAACTGGAGTTATTTCACCCCAGGCCAAGAGTACATATCTTTATGCAGTTACTTCTGATGGTGGTGCCAGTCAGGTGTATCATGCTTGGCAGGAATGCTGGAAGACAGTCTTGATAGACCTGGCCTCTGGTAGATCTCCCCAAATCTACTGGTTTTGGTGGTGGAAATTATGGGGCCAAATCCTGGCCCCAATGAGATCCATGACAAAAATCCCATTGATTTGTATGGGGCCTGAACTTGGAATTTTGCCTCCAAGGTGACCTTAATTTTTTGACATAGTCTTAAGTCTGGAATTTGTCATTCGAAGCAAACAACGTGACATATCACTTGACACACACACATATATGTGGGTGTCAATGTTCCCATCTGAAAAAGGTAGCTTGTATAGTTTGTGTGCAGTTTGTAATCTTTACTTCTCATGAACAGTATTTATTGACCCATACCTATCAGAGTGGTTACCTTTCTTTAATCCCCACTTTTTGTAGTTTCTCGGAGTCACAGAACTATCCTCCTATTGTGAAGGCTACTTTCTAAAAAATATGATGGTCCTCATTGAAAATGAAGCTTTCAAACAGCTGTTGTATGACAAGAATGGAGACACGTCTGGTCAGAATGTACTACAAGACTTACAGAGGACGTTGGCGACACGGATTCAGTCAATTCATTTGTCTTCTTCGAAGGGCTCCGTTGTATAAAGGTCAGGAAGGAGATCGCGCTCAGAAAAGACACTGCGAGTTCAGGCTCCTGTTGCAGTTGCTTAAATGAACATACAAAATTCTGCTTCACATTGGAATATATTTTTTTTTGTTGGCCAAAGGTGCTGCTTTTAGGCTGCAGCCTCACTTAGATGAGGGAATACTGTACATATGGCTCCTACCCATTTTTGAGAAACAAGGATATAGCACTATTCTGTGAATTACTGGTATGTTCAATTCTGAACGCAAAAGTGTGGTCTTGGAGCTAATGCCAACAAAAGCCAGAACTCACCAATGAACAGCAGAAGCCTCTGCCTGAACAAAGATGCCATGGACCACTTAAAATGACAAATGGGTTATTTAAGGTTATTCTGCTCCACCATGTTATACATTTAAGAACTGTACTGTACCTATCCCAGAGTCCATTCTATTGTGCATTTAAGAAACGTAAGATTTGTTAGTTGCTGTTTCATAAGGGTCAACTGTGTTAGAGAGTTGGTAAGACTGTTATAAATGAGGAAATATACTGGCAAATTTTTAGGGGTGGGAACTTTTTAAAATTGTTCATAACAAATGGGGTGGCCTTGTAGTTTAAAATCTATTTCTTAAGCTTAAAAATTCATTTTTGACAGAGTTGTGTTTGCGAATCTATGTAACATGTTTTGTTTTTTAAAGGCACACTGTGTAAATACTGTATACATATGAGCAGGTTTTGCTTGTATTCTTTCCTAAGGTGGTATAATCTTGCCTAAATGGTTATGGTTACACCAAAGAGGTACATTACCAAGACAATATCTAATACAGTAGTTGGGGAATAAAAATCTGCATGCTAATTGTGATTTGGGGTTAAAAACAATAACAAACTCAACATGCATTTGCATGGTAACTGTACCTGTGAAATGTTATGTTTGTGCTTTGTTTTGCCAAGACTGCTTGTCAAACTCCATTTGTGAAATTAGCATATTTACTTTTTTTTCTTGGTGCAAATGGTAGTGAGATGATTCCCACAGAGACTTGTTGGAAGATGCTGATTTCTGTTTGTTACATGGAAGAGTTAAGATCAGCCTTTATTCTAGTAACATGTCAATATTTCGCTACTGGCCAGAGATTGTGACTAAGTTAGACTTTTTTAAATTATTATTAAATATGTACTATAGAATAATTTCTTACTGTATCCTCTGAATGTATAGGTTATCTACAATGGAGGTGTTCAATGTCAGGGCTCAATTTATTTTGCAGCATACTGTTAGCAAGAGAGATCTGTTAAGTGCCACAATTTTCTGGACATCTTGTACTTGATGATACCTTTCACGAATCGGTTGATTTAAAACATAGGGAAGACCTCAGTAAAGAGTAGGAGAAAGGCGCTATCTTTTCAGTGGCAAAATTACATGTATTTCTTTTCTAGCATGCTTTTTGAAACTGTGCCTGGTTCACAGATTTTTAGAAGCTTTAATTTGACAGTGCATGGTAACTTCTTGGTCTTTTGTTAGAGTATTTATGTCCGGTGCTATTTCATGTTTATAGCTTTTGGAATGCTCAGAAAACACAGTCTTTGCATTAGTTACCAACATGATAGGAAACTGTTTTATTGTTCTGATCTGTAAATCCTCCCGTATGCTTGATCATTTTAAAGCCTATACAGTATCTGCAACAAATTACAAAATTGTCTAAACTACCATTAATGTCTCAGAGACACAGCATGTCAGCCTAACAATGAATTATCAGACAATTTGTTTCTGCATATGATATGCCATATAAGATGTTGTCTAGATCATTTAGCTACTGGCGACTTACTTTTCTGTGAATGTTGCAATGCTAGAGAAGCAAGAACCTGATAAATGCAATTGCAACTCTTGGGGGTGCTTATATTATAGTTTGGTGTGCTTCCTCACTCACTGAAACCCATTCTTCCATATTGGTAACAATCTGCATAATAAAAACAAATCTCACCCAGCAGCTTAATGTTAACTTCTCTAAATATAAAATTATAATGCTCCAGATTTTTACCCAGTAATCAAGTAGGCCAAATTCTACCCTCAGGTGCACACAGAGCTCCCACTAAAGTAATCAGGCATTGCAGACATGTATCCACAAGCAGAATTTTTCTCGGTGGGAAGTAAAACCACAGGTATAAATTCAGCTAGGCAATCTGGTATCTTAACAGGATGATAACCACTGCTTATGTAGCAATGACTTCAGGGCATACATTAATAGCGGTCCAGGACATTGGTAATGGGATATAGAGCCTATATTCCTGGGTTACTCATTGGAATGTTGATGTAGACTGATGTCACCAGCACAGAAATCCACCACAATAGGTGTAACTTTCTTTGGCAGTGTCAGCAAAAAAAATCAAAGACTGGATGGGGAAGGGAGACTTCTCTCCTGTCTCACCCTGAGAACTGGCTCCTCTAGGTTAGACGCATAGGATGAGCTGTGGTAAGCTTGAAGTGTCACTGACTTTGTGGTATTTGTTCTGCTGCTAAACAGAGGACTTCACTTGCTCTATCTCTAGTACATCTTTCATGAGCATTACATTCACTAGAAGTATTCTGTTAGGAACAAAGGGACAAATTCTCCCTTCACTCTGTGCACAGGGGTTACTATGGACTAAAAGGGAATTGTGTGAGCATGCAAGGCAAAATTAGACCCAAAACTAGTAGCAGCAAAGCGAACCTGCCTCTAAACAAACACCACAAATCTCCTTCAGCAGGACTGTGTCAACCCATAGATTTGTGCATTCCCTTTGCTTCTTCAGGGGCTCATTAATCTGGAACATTGCGCACGATCTAATGCTCGGGGTTCCAGTGCATAAGCCTTCAGATTTAAGTTACTGCTACCATGGGATTTGCTTTGCTCTCAACTAAACATGAACAGGAGAACAAGATTATAGAAGTCTATGGGATCAAAAATGCTCCTGAAAGAGGATTCTGGCTATTGATTGGTGTGGCAGTGTCTATTGCTATTAAAGCTATTATTAATGGATACATTCGAGTACATTGCACCGTTATTGGTTTGCAAACACTGGTGGAAAAGCTCATGGGAGGGCTTATTAGGGCAGCAAAAACTGCATGGTTTCCCTCACAGAGTTTCCTCCCTGTTCTTCAATGGGGGGCAGAATTCCCAGACTCAGCTAAGCAGGGGGGTACAGACCTGGGGTCCCATTGAGCTCCACAACGCACAGATTCTGGAGTCCCTCTGGGTGCCTGATCCACACCCAATCGAACCGGAACTGCTATCGTTCCATTTCAGTAGAAGCCTCTGTGGTGAATTTCATTCAAAAAAACACTTAGAATGTGACCATGATCCTATAAGACATGGCCTTTCCATACAGCAATCATTATCGTAGTGGTACATATCAGTGTCCTTTAGAAAGTGCTGTTATTTCAGGAAACAAAAGCCTTTGTTCATTAATCTCTGTACCGATTGCAATAATTCATCCATTCTGGGGAAGAATTCCCTCTATCCTCCCCCCAAGGAATTTCAGATGGTTGGGTGAACTGGAAATTCTTTTTAAAACCCTTAGAAAAAGTGTATTAATTTTTTCAATCATAACTCGCACTCCCCTTCCCTCTGCACAACGATCTAGGGCTTTTTTTTTCCATCTAGGTTTTTATAAGGTCACCCATCACTGTGGTATCTGGGCATCTACAGGCACTTTGACCCTTCTCAGTTGCAAGTCCTGCCTTTCCTTCTCTAGAAGAGACCCAATCTCCTCTTAGCTCCCTTAATTGCCCCGCAGTCCCCAGAACGCACCCACTTGCCTAATCTGTTGCCAGCTCCCTCCCTGTTCTAGAACCATGCTGGTTCCCTCCCTGACCCTGGCAGATGTTATCTCAACTAACCCAGCTCTCCCCTTTGGTTCATTGCCCCATAATCAGCTTGAAAACTGGCAGAGGAGGTGGGCTGGGTGGAAACATATGATAGGAAAGTTTGGGGGCATCAGGGAGCAAGGTTAGTACTCTTTTCAGGGAAAACTCCAGAACCATCTCCCAGTTACTCAAATCCTCCCTGCTCCACAGATTGGAGACCTTCCATCTCTTAGAAACAGATGGCTTCCAAATATTTTCTACTCTAGAAAATGGTCAGTTTCCTAAGGGAGCCTTTCTCCAGGCTAAAACTTTGCATGCACGTTCTTGGCTCAGAACTGAATTGATTGTGCAAAGTATATAAATGTATATATTCCAAGTTGTGCATGGGGAATTAGTGGAAAGCCTCTCACTGGCACTACCAGGAGCTGCTCTGGTAAGTTTCCACCTGCCACTTTTTAAACTGACACTGTTCATGTTGAAGATCCACTTATAGTTGTCTTCATACCAAAAACTGTACTAGTCCCTTTTGGATGCATTACAGTATGCGGTGTGATAGGGAGTCTTTCTGGACCCTCCAGTTCTGTGCCAAAATGTACTGTGGTTTGATGTTTGAAGATTTTTTTTTTTTCAGTGATTTCAGCTCCCACTGAAATGAGCTACATTTCAATGGTGCAGTAGTGAGAGAGAGAGCTGGCCTTTTCTTCAAAAACAAAAAACCAAATTAAGGGCCCAGTCCTGCACACAAAACCAAGTGAAGTCAATTGGGACCTGTCTTGTCAGTGTGTTATTGACATATGTACAGCTGTCATTAAATTGAACACACCTAAATTTCTATACAGTATTGAGATTCCAGATAGGGCTCAAGCCATACTAGACAAAAAAGCCATTTCCCTATATTATTGACTACAGGCCAAATCAATGCAAGTTGCAGATACTCAAGACTTCCTCAGGAGTCAGCTCTATATTAATAATAATTCGTACATAGGACCAGATCCTGAAGTCGGTATGTGTTAAAACTGGCACTGAAGTCAATCGGTGTTCTGCGTGAATAAGGGTGGAGTAAAAGCTGAATAAGGACTTTGGGATTTGGCCCATGGTGTCTTTAATCTGAGAATCTCAAAATGCTTTACAAACATTACCAGCTTGATATTGCTGCTCTTACTCCTGCTTAATACCTTATCCCAGAAATAGTCCCATTGAAATTAATAGGTCGAAGGATGGAGTGCGCTGTATTCTCATTTCTAATATGCATGCACTCCTCCCATTGACTAGATAGTTGAGCTCTAGCAAATGTTAACTTTTCTATGTCAGTATAAATGTCTGCATTGCATCTGAGAGAGTGAATTTGTCTGAACACCTTTGGCTGGTGGCTGACGTCGGCCAGTCAACTTTCCATCATTTCCGCTGCTGTGTTTTCATTAAAACTTCTATTACCTTTCCCACTCACTGCGGTTATAGATTATTTTTTCTTATCACATTTCTGAAGCAAACAAAGAAAACAACCTGAAATATCCAAGCAGAAACAAATTATGTTTAAAAATAGGGCAAGTTAGAAAACAGGGACACTCAGCCATACAAGGATGTGACCTTTATAAAACAGTCACATTAGAAAACAGCTCGTTCTTTAAATGGGCCTTAATCATAACACCTCAGCCATGCTGGCAAGGATGGCAAGTGATCTAAGGTTCAAATTAACTAGAGTCCTTCAAGCCACATAATCAATCCCAGCAGCATTGACTGACCCTTTCATCACTCTGTGATCGATAAATTCAATACCATCTAGTTTACTGTTGGGGGGAGGGGTATCGTTCAGGTGAGACGTTATCAAGTCTGGTCCTCTCCGCTCTACAAGACCTTTAAACAGCACATACGTAGCGCTTCAAGTGCAGGGATTTGTCCCATTATCCTTAACTGAAAGTTCCCCTTTCTCCCGTTGTTGTGCAGTGAGCTGTGTGCCAGTTGGATGGTGCCCTATGCCCCAGTGGTGGCTGGATTTCAATGGTGCTGTAGGTCTCTAAATCATGAAGCACCTGAGAGTCTTCAGAATGAACGGTGCTACATAAAAGTAAAATAATTCATCTTATCAGAGAGCCCAAACTAAGTAGGGTCAAGGCTGGCTAGACCTCCAATAAAACATGTGCTTCAGAAGGCAGTGTTGGTGGGTCAGAAGGTGGCTTTTCCCCTTTGAGACCCTGAACCAATGCCCCAGCCTGGTGTTTGAGAGCACTGTGCTATGGGTGGTGACATCTTTCAGATGAGTCATAAAGCTGAGGTCCTGACCCCTTGTGGTCATTAAAGAACTGATGGCACATTACACAAGAGTAGGTTAGAGCTGTCAACCTCAGGGTCTTGGCCAAACTCCAATTTAGAAATTATATGGTGCCTACCAAAATTCCTCTTGTGTATTTCAAGTAGGTATGTTATTCACTTCTTGTCCTAAATGTCTGTGTACCGTTGCAATGTACTGTTGTAAGCACCTGCCTTTCACTCTAGCATTTGCTTGTATATCAGTGGTAGATGAAGACATTTGTGTGTGAGAGAGAATTATGCATATAATAAGTCAAACTCCCATCCTACATTGCATGGGTGCAACTACACAGCAAAGTATGATACTTTCCTAGTGCTCTTTTCAGCACTGTGTGGAGGGCCTGGCTAATGTGTCTCCTGGTACTTTATGGCCCCAAGGTGATGTGGTCAGGACCCATGCACCCCTCTATACTGTGTCCTGCATCACACAATAGAGAGGTCTGGATCTTGCTCGTTTTAGAGCAGCATTATGGTGCTCTGAAAAGAGTTCCCTCAGCCTCTTTGCACTAATGAGATGGCTACTGGACTATACTTCAGTCCAGCTCATCTGCAAGCCTTCCCCTTGTAATACCACCTGCACAGAATGAGTCTACTCAGAGCAAGATTTTGAATCTGTAAAGCATTTTAAGACCCTCTGGGACAAAAGATGCTTTATAAAATCAGATATTCTGTATCTGAACAGTTCATGTTCTGCGTCTTCTGTTTTTTACATGTGAAATGTTTTTGTTTTTTATTTGTGTGAGTGAGTGAGAGAGAGATGGACAGTAAATAAATGTACTGTATATCTTATGAGATGTGAAATCATGTCTGTAATGAGATCTCTTGCTAATGTCAGTCAGCCTTCCCTGATGCTAAGGGTTTGGCAATATGCATTATTGAATTGAATAGCTAAACCTCCAGCTCCACTTGCCCAAAAGGGCTTACCTTTGTACATAGGTTAACATTTTTTAATGTTTGATATAAGATCATTGAAAGTAATTTGTAATTTAGATGAGGGAGAAATGGGCATTCTAGAAAAAAAATCAATTCAAATTATAGGGTGGGGGCCATTCATAAAACAAACCAAAAGGCTTGGTGCAACACCCGTTGAAGTCCAGTAGATTGGGCCCCATTTTTTAGTTCTTATTCAGACATTAAACAATTTGCCATGAATTTGCTACATGTGAATCTGAAGTGTAGATCATGTTGAACCTAAGCAGAAAAGCAAAATGCATGTATGTAATTGGGTACCAGCGTCTATGTGCTTAAGTAGGGAAAGATACCTCCCCATCTCCATCTCTGAAGACCTGGCATGTTCTTACGTTTACTTCAGAAAATAAAAGATGAAAGAATCCCAACGCCAATGCTTGGGTGACACAGAAGAGCTAACACTGTAAATGAGAAACGCTTGCTTGCTGCCTTCATCCTTGTCCAAGTCTATCAGTTACCTCTTTCAGATTTCAGTAAAAGTTATATTTATAAAGTTATTAGGGAAAAACAAAAACCAGAGAGAAAGCCATGATGGAAAAAATTCTTTCCGAGAATAAAACAGAACTGTAGCATGAAGACTTCAGATTACAAAATCTGCAGCAAACCCTTCCTGCAGAAAAAAGACAGTTTTTCGCTGTCATCTTGTAAAACTAATGATGGTTTGATTACTTGTTGGAGCTTTTTTATTAGTATTAGTATTATTTCTGTATCTAGCACAGGAAGCTCTCATATGCCATCTCTCAATGAGGTTTCTATGGAAAAGGTTACTTTATTGGGAAACAAAAATTGCACAACCAGATAATACTATCCAGAGCACAAGGAGGTGATGTCCTACTTTATGCAACCATCATTTAAGTACTGGCTTTTGGGTTTATATAAGTGTTCTAGTTATTTTAAAATGAACAATATATCTGGAACATTTGTTTGCCCTTCTCATTGTCCATTTAAGCTTGTACAAACTGCACAATAGTAAAAGCCACTGCACAGAAAATAGGGGAAATATGGATGATTTAAAAGATTAAGCAATAGTTTAGCTCAATGGGTACAATTTTTGAAAGGGTGATTTAGGAGCTGAAGGCCCTTTTTCAAAAGAGACTTAGGAGTCTACATCTTATTGAAAGACATTGGGACTTAGGCACTTTTGAAAAATCTTCCCCAATATCAAAACTGTTCAGATCTTAATGTTATGGAGCAAGCTGTCTACTCCCAGGAAATTCAAAGTTAAGGAGAATAATCTACTTTTAACTCACGCCTTATTTAATATGAGATACCAGCCTTAATTTTAAATGTAGCAGCTTTTGTCTAACTGTCACAACCTAAATTCTGCTTTAAAATATTTTTATTTCATTTCCTTGTTTTCTTTTCTTTTTTTAAGTTTAAAAAGAAGGTTTTTCTTTCCGCATAATGTATTCAGTCTGTTGGATCTTTACGTGTTCAATCATATAATGAGATCCTTAGCACATTATAAATGCTAAAATGTCTTAGGAAAATTTCTGAAAACATGTTCACTGAGTGCACTTTAGAATATTTTAACCCCCAATCTCAGATGTTAAGTCTTTTAAAATCTCCAGTGAGATTAGGATTCATGCCTTGCCAAATGTCATTTTGTAAATCTAGTGTTAACATTGTACAAATACAAACCAGCGTTTGAAACCAGCAAGGATTTTTTTTTCTTTAATCTGATTAGCCAGATCTTCTTTTCAAGGGTAAAATAACTTGCTTTTAGTTTGAGACTATGTATGCAAAGCTTCTGAGTGAATTGTTATAACCAAGTTAAGAAATGGGGGAAACTGGGTTTAGAGAGAAATTTAACTGCAGTAGTGCAAAAGGTAGACTTATTTTAGGGCCTGAGCTAACTCCCACTCACAGCAATGGGAATCCTTCCACTGACTTCAGTGGGAGTTGGATCAGGCCTATAATATTTAAAAGTGTGCTAAAGCAGTGTGTCTTAGCCTTTTTGATAGCAAGGACCGGCTTGCTGCCTTCCTAAACTGTGTCAGGAAGATCCCAGGGACCGGCGCCGGCCCATGGACTTGTCGTTGAGAAACAGTGTGCTAAAGGATATACTCTCCCCTCTCCCCATATGCAGAACTGTGGTTGGTATCAATGAGAGGCTCCCATAAGGACTGAAGGGAGAATATGCCCTGAAGGCCCAATCCTATCATCCTTGTGCATATTGGCCTTAATTCAGCAAAGGCGCTTAATTACGCATATGCTTAACGTGTGTGACTTTAAGCATCCCTTTCCAGCAAAATACTTAAGCATGTGCTTAAGATCCATTGGTTTCAATGGTACTTAAGCATGTGTTTAAAATTAAAGTTAAGCACATACTTAAGAGTTTTGCTGAACAGAGATGGGATTATTCATGTACTTAAGTGTTCTGGTGATTCAGGGCCTTCAAACTTCCAGTGATTTCGCTGGAAGCATCACACATTTACAGGCTGCAGAATCAGGCTCAAGTGTGGGTGTGAAGCATTATTATGAATTGGACTAGCCTGAGAAAACAATGGCAATTTTAATTTCAGGAGAGTGACATTCCATGAACATCCGTTTAGCTGGGAGGGTTAATATGTAATATTTACTATAATTACATTTCATCTTTTTTTTAAAAAAAACTCTCTCTTTGAGGCAGCACCTGAGTCCAGCAAGTATGAAATAATGCCAAAAGACTTTAAATACTTGCCCATATCGCCAAACCCTGCTAACTTGTCCAAACAGAAGTAGTCCCATCAAAATTATGGAGAGCAAGATTTGGCCCATGGACTGTACAAATTTACTGATGTGTGAACACAAGTCCCAATTCAGTTCAGTAAGACTGATTACTTCCTGGATAAAAGCACATCCTGCCAATTCACCCTGGTTGTAAATGAACTGAAGTCAAAGGAGTTATAGCAGAGATGAATTTAGCTCGCTGGGAGCAGTCCAGTATGTAAGCAAAACTCCCAGTGAAGTCAATAGGTGTTTTCCTTTGTAGGGACTGCATAATTGGGGCCACATGATGAACTATATTTATCAGACAGACAGACCATTCTTGTGTAAATGCTGTTGGTAGCTTTGTGTGAAGGCCAAACAAAACAAAACAAAATCAAACTTCATGGGAACACACCAGAGAATAATAAACTTGCACCTTGCTAGGATAGCTTTATTAGTGTATATTATATGTAAATTTCAAACCAGAGAATACATGTCGTTCACTGTACGTATCTGGTTACTTAGGTGGCAGTGCTGTGCACTGCTGTTTAGGAGCTCCAGGTTCTTTAGTCTTGGGTTTCCAACTCTAAAGGTTGCTGGAGGCCAAGCACATCATCCTTGGGGCCAGTCAAAAATAGGAGGGATGGAGTGATAGCCACCCACTACAAAAGTGGTTATGACTATGGATCAGGACAGAGGTTGGCTTTGGAGAAGGTTGCTTGCCCACACTCCTGGCCAGTGGATAAGAGCCTCCTTCATAGTCATGTAAAGTAGAAGGGAAGTTATTGAGTTTCTGGTGGTCCACGTGGGTGGAGAACTCAAAATCCTATTTGAATCAGTCTTTAATAGGGACCTGGTGTGGTAAGAAGGAACCCATGATTTAATGTAACACAGAAAAGACCACAACAAAACAGTGTGTATATACCTATCTATTTCCTAACGTCTCTGTATTGAATGGGTTTGATCATTTGTAAAAAAAAACCAACTGATTGCTCATGTTGTGTTACTGCTTTTAATTTCTTTGCATGAACTCTGGCATATAATTCTTTAAGGGGGGAAAAAAATTATATATATATATATATATAATAGCCTGCAAAATATTCTTGTTGGACAGCCATGTTTTGTGCAAATTGTATATTATTGTTGTGAGCAATATTGGAATATGAACTTTTATTAGTTGTTGGCATTAAAATATGTTTTTATTGATAGTAAATTTGTCATATTATTTTTGGGTATGTAGCATGGGCTTTCATATTCAGATGTGAGCACAACTACCGAAAGGGCCATTTTCAGTGCAGTGAAAATATCACCAACTTTCACTAAACAAGCAGGCATGCAAATGACATTCATTTTTATGCAATTTACAAACTTATTTATTCATGCCAATTGACAGGCCTATACTTTTTTAGGCTCGCTATAGCAATGCTTGACTTCATCTTTGAAAAGATCATGCTGTTAGCCCCTTTTTAAAAAATGGAACCAATGCCCCAATCCAGAAAAGCATGTGCTTAACTTAAAACACGCAAGTAGGCCCCTTAACCTCAGTGAGACCACTCACATGCTTAAAGTTAAGCATCTGCTTAAATGCTTTGCTGGATCAGGCGCTAAAAAATGTAGTTTTCTCTTGCCTTTGGATAGTAAATGCTTTATTTTCAGCTTTTCATGCAGCACATTTTTCAGTTTAGGGACCTGTTTAAAGTGAAATATTAATATGGCTTTATGAGAGCTACAGCAACTATCTAGTCATTTGGCACTTGACGTTTATAACTTTTGGGTGGCTTGTAAACACCATAAATAGCTGTTTGCTCTATGTTTACTTCTGGGAAATGTGTTCTATTGATTTAAAATGTTTAAAGTTAATACATTGACTGCCTTTTTTGTACATTTGTTATTTCAAAGGTTTGATTTAAATTATAACAATTGTAGTATATTTTCAGACTTTAAATAATAGCTGACAGTTCTGTATTTGAGAGGCAAAGTTATTAATAAATATAGCAGATTCATATTCTAATCCTATTTTATACCGCTCCCTCCAAAGGTTTATCAGATTGCAATGAATACTCCGGAACAGCAGGTGGAGCTCTTTTGAGTGTGTTTATGAACCATCCCTGTTCAATAAAAATTTCAGTTTTTCTAGCTTAGGAAATGGTGCTGTGAGTGTTTTTTGTTTTTCCTTCTCCAGTTCAGATATTTCTCTGTATAATTCAAACACCAATAATGTTGAGATTCTTCCAGTAACAGGGTCCCAGGAATCTTATGATTCTATGGATATTACAGCTGGAAATTCTGACGGTTTCTAGTTCAGCACTTATAATATGATTGTCATTGTACAGAACATGGAAAAGACATGGTCCCTGCTCCAAGAAGCATTCAGTCTACAGCCCTGATCCGGCACATTCAATTTGACTTCAGTGAGACTACTCGTGCTTAAAACTCAGCATGTGCATAATAAGTCTTTGTAGGATCTGGGCATAACTAGACAATTTGGATACATAAAGACCTGGGTGATCAGTAGTTGGAGTTATCATATAATGCTGCAGCAAGGGTATAAACTAGGTGGCAGTTAAATACTAATAGGTATCACAAAAGAAGTATGCTTTGGGAAGAGATATTCAAAAGGATGAGAGCATCACCATGGAAATCAAAGCAGGGGTTAAAAAACCTTTGATTTCAGGTTTTTTCAATCAGCATGTTGATTTTATTATTGATTTTATACTACTTTTAACTATTTCAAATCTTGTATGATTTGGGAGATTTAGAGCCAAATACTGCCCTGATATTCTTGCTTAAAACTCCCTTGATTTCAACAATAGCCATATGGATATGTGATGGCAGGACTGTTCCCTTCATCTGCATTTTGTTTATTATAGAGCCGCGTGGAGGAAAAAAGGTGGTAGGACTTTTTCATGCTCTGCCCGCAAAATAAGATCTGCATGTGTGAATCATCCCAATGAGATGCTGCTCACAGTAGACTGTGCAGATATTTAAAATATGATCATGTGTGCTGTTAGGCTCCGGGGGGCTCCTTGAGCTAATTTCCCCCTTAGAGGTGCTTGAATGTGCCTATGGGCTCTGCTAAGCACCTTGGAATTGGCTCCTTTGTGACTGAGAGATACCACCATGTTTCCCCCCACACACACACCACCTACCGTCTGGCGCCACAGTGAGACATCAAATTGTTCATCTCTTTGACACTTCCGTCAACATAAAGCATCTTCATTAAAGCTGTACAGTGGCACGCCAATGCAGCATTTTAAGTGTAGACTTGCCCCTAGTGTAGTCACTCTTATAAGTGCTCTTTTCCAGTTTAGTTTATGGAGAAAGGGTTTAGGCTAAACTGCAAAAAAACATAGACCAGAATAAGGGCAAGTCTACACTACAAAATTAAATCGACCTAAGTTGCATCAACTTACAGCCATTGCAGTAATTAAACTACTTTTGCATGTCCACGCTACCGATTTAATTGTCAGTGGGGAGCATTGTGGGACGACTTCTGAAAGGCAGCAACAGTCAATATAAGTAACACAGTGTTTACACTGGCACTGCATCGACTTAAGCGCTACACCTCTCGCAGAAGTTATGAAGTTGGCGTAGTGGGTGAGTTACATCGGTAGGAGCTTCATTTTAGCATAGACACTTACAGATTTAGGCTGATGTCAGCTGCCTTATATTGACCTAACTCTGTAGTATAGAGCAGGGCTAACAGTGTCCACTTAAGGACTTATGCTGGTATAATTATACTGGTATTACAGTACTGGTAAAACTTTCCCATGTAGACAAGGCTTACTTTATTTTTTAATGAAAGCTAAGATTCTGGAGAACAAGATAGTAACTTCCGAGAAGTGCCGGTGTGGTGTATGAGTATGTACTGTATTGGCTGTGTCCGAGGCCTACTGTAAAGTGCCGGGGGTACTGCATAAATGATAATGTTCTATGCATCAAAGAACTGGAGTCTATTCCTGAAATACTGAACATTTAAAGGAACTAGTATTGAACAATACACGAAAACGATGGAGATAACTGCTGTTGAGCAAACCCTGACCCTATCAGTTTCCATGGTGAAGAGCAGCCAGAGTTGAGGCCCTACAATTGCTTTGATGAGTAGAGGACGCCCCTCAGGCAGTTGTGCAGCCCTCAGATAACCACCCAACCCACCATTCTTCTTCCTGGCTCAGTCCCACATCCCACTACCCTCTCCCCATCATGTGGGGCTTAAATGATGTCCTGGAGGCTCTGTGTTTACATAGAGCTTTCCTGTGTCCCAGCAGGGGAGCATCATGTGACCAAGTGGTATAGGGGAGAAATACTTTTTGCAGTAGGGAGGGAGGAGGTTCAGTAAAGTGACTAGTAATATAAAGTACAACAGAACACCAGGATGGAAATTACTTACACTGCAATTACCCAGAGGCCCCAGTTAGGTTGGGCCTCATTGTGCTAGCACTTTACAAATACAAAACAAGACACAACAAATGGATGCAGCAAACAAGGCATGGGAGATGCCAGAAGCTAATTACAAATACTGTATTTTGATAGATATTACTGTACTTCCTTCTCACTCCAGCGCCACAGAAGGCTCACAATAAAAAATGGAAAATGCCCCACAGCACTGTTTGTTTGACATATGGTTAAAGTACTGTAGTCATGCTGTCTGCCAAGTTTAAATTTTGCTGTCCAACACTTGTTTTATTATGTGAACTATTCCTTACCTTAACCATTTTCCGATACTTGTAGTTCCCAGTTAACCTCTGAAACAAAAGTTTAAGTGATGCCGCCCTCCACACTGAAACCCCCCGACCCCCAGCAGTAAGAACTAATACAGCTCCCGGCCTCTACTTCCACAGTCCCGCTCCATCCCCTCCCCGTCCCCCAGCCCATCTCCCTGGCTCCTCCACCAGCCCACCCCTGTCACTTCCCATCCCCTTGGTTCCGCCCCCACCCCTGGCACTATCCCCCAGCCCATCTCCCTGGCTCCTCCACCAGCCCACCCCTGTCACTTCCCATCCCCTTAGTCCCGCCCCCACCCCTGGTCCCTGGCACACCCCTTGGCCCCTCCTACTTACTCCCAGCCCCTTCCCTTCCCTCTGGCCCCGCCCATATCTCTCCCTGCCAGTGGCTGAGTTCGCTCCTCCTTCCATTGGGGCGGGGTCTCTGCCTCCGACGCGTCACTGGCTTCCAGCCCCCCCCGACGCTTGGTGATGACCTCACGCAGGCCTTCTCGCCCTCTCCCTGCCGAGGAGTTGTCAGTATGAGGTTACGTCATCAGGAACGCGACAGTTTGTGGGGCGGTGGTAGTAGGAGCGCGGCGCGTGTCAGAGTTGTCCGCACGTGCCGCGGCCGGAGCCATGAGCTGCCCCGTGACTTGCGCCGCCTGGGTGCGCAGGGGGGTCGCCAGGGGAACGCCCGACAAGGTGAGAACCCCCGAGCCGGGAACGCGCCTCTTCCCTAGCGCCCCCCACCCCCCCGCGCAGGCCGGCGGCCGCCTCGGTGCTGGGCCACGGTCCGTCGCCGCGATGCGTCGGGCTGTGCGGGCCTGTCCGGGGCTGAGGGGGGAGCCGGGCCCTGCGCTCGCCGGCCGCTCGATCTCAGCGCGTTTCCCCTTCTAGGTGCGGCTCAGCGCGGAGGAGCTGAAGCGGCTCATCGGGGAGGCCGCGGAGACGCTGCGGTGAGTGTCCGCCTCCGAACACGCAAATCCCTCCGTGTGCCCCGGGGCAGGGCCTGCCCTACCAGGCAGTGGCGGATCAGGGGGCCCGGGGTACGGGCAGCAGCACGGGCCCAGCCCGCCAGACATACATGGATGAGATCTGGGTGTCAGTCCCCCAGTTTAACTGTGTAGTGTAGGCATGGCCTTGAACAGGCTGTGTGTTGTGTGAGTTATGAGACTGGGAAATGAGGAGATTACTCATCTGTACTTGCCCACTGGTAAGGAGTGTTGTCAGCTCTCGCAATTACACAAGTCTCTCAACTTTCATGTTAAAAAAGAGTGAGTTTCTAGCCCTGCTGATTGTGGAACAAAGCTTGAAAATGTGACCCCCTATAAAGGCTCAAAAAACAGAAGACAAATACAAGGAATCTCATTTTTTTAATGACATGATTTTTAAACCCATCTTGTAATGGAATTGCCAATACTGCAGACCTGAAAAACAGTTGATGTTAAATAAAGAATACCTATATACATTCACTGAGAAATAGCGCAAGACTCATTTTACCTAGGTGGAAGGTAAGTGTTTATTTGCTAGAAATGATCTTCTGGTCCCCAATTCCACTGGGGCTCTGCATTGGTGCAGTGGTTGGCCAGGACAGATCTGATTGCGGTGTCAGGGCCTGAGTACCCTGAATTCCATGTGCATTCTGGTGAATATTGTCAGCTCCCCTCCATCTGATCTCAGCTTTCATTTTTTAAAAGTTTACCCTTTTCTTTACTAAGAGAGCTTTCAAAATATTAAGCAATTACCATACCAAAATATTAAGTAAGTTCTAATGGCTGTCCCTAAAAATCGCAAATGTTATTTCTGAATTTCTGGTTTTTTAGAAGCTTAACCTTTAACTATTTTTTGTCATTAACTTTATAATTCTACTGCTGTTACCAGTAGCTTTGCACAGATAACTGTAAACTGTATGCAACCTTTTCTTATGGATTCTCTCCCCCATCCCCATTTCAAAAGTATGCAATGCAAGGTTTGAGGAGCCTTTTGTTGGTAATTATGCATTTTGTTAAAATTCAGTGTGGAAGCTTAGAGAATCACATCTAACAACTACAAATGTTACGATCTCTTCATAACATCTTGTACTTTGTAGCATTCATTAGTACTCCAGTCATTTTATTTCTGTTCAAAGATCACAAGTCAGATTTAAATTTAGAATATTTAATGATCCTGCTACCAATTTTTACTCTTCTTATGGGTTAAATGTCATATGAAGGGCAAGTGTTGTTTTATAAAATAAGTGACAAGAATAGCTCTTCAGCAAGCTCTTTCAAAACTGAAAGACCTTTGCATTAGATATAGTTCTCTTATAGACCCAAGATTGTGTTCTATCCTTGATCTTTGTGCATTGATGTCAGTGGGAGTTTTGAATGCAGGCATAGTAAATATGCCCACTTGGGAGCAGTCTCTTGTGGAGTTCTCTCCAGTGTTAGCAGTTGGGTGTCCTCCTGCAAAGTGATGTAATAAAAATAAAAATTCAAGAATTGTTCATTGCTCAACCTGCTGCTGTTCAGACCTTTGCATTTTATATGTTGGTAGAATCTGAATCATTGCCTTAGGGAAGGAAGCTTTGTGAAAGTTTAGGGTATCTGGGATAGGTTTTTTTTCCTGTGACGAATGTGGTGTGATGCTGGTAAATCTGCTACAGATACTTAACTAATGAAGCATGTGCTTCTTTTGGAAGGAAGCAAAAAGAATTGTTGGAGCCATTGGAGTCTTTGAAAGAGTGGGTGGGGGTGGTCACATTAGGTAGGAAGACATTTTTAGCAGCTGCATTTTGGGTGGATGAATGAGGGGATGTGATTTTGGTGTTGGGGATACTGGATAGGTTACTGTAAAGAAAATGGGCGATAATGAAGGCATAAATGAGAATTTCAGCTTATGGGATATAGAGGGAAGATCAGATCTTCAAATGTGGTGGAAGAAAGAGCAAGATTTGGATATAGTCTAGGGTTGTGTGGAGAAGAAAGAGGAGGAATCAAAGATCAAACACACCTGTGTGTAAGAGGGAGGATGATAGTGGTGTCACAGTAATGGAAAGGGTAAATGAAGAGGGGTTGGGACACTCAGTTTTAGCCATTTAAAATTGTCGTATTCTGCCAAGAAGGCATACTAGAGAAAATGTCATTGGTAGGCTGAAATGCAGGTCTGGCTAGGAAGAGACAGCGAAGGAGTGGAAAAATAGATTTGAGAGTCATTGGCATAGAAACAAAAGTTGAAATCATGTGAGCAGGTACGTTAATATTCCAATACCTCATTACCAGTCCCCCAAGCAATTTAGTGAAAATGTCCCAAACTCTTAACTGACTCACACTGATAATTCAGTGAGTATTTTTTCCTTATACAGAGAAGAAGCAGATGGTAGTGATGAAGAAGAACATGGACAGGCTGCAGAAGACGACATGGATGTTGCTAGTGGTGAGACAGTTGAGCCTCCTCAAGAAGATGGGGACCAGGAAGAAGACACTGAAAAGCTGAATGATGATGAGCTGGCAGAGTATGGTTTGGATAAATATGATGAAGAGGAGAATACAGGTAATGTCAGTCTATTTCTCCTGTCAAAAGTGCAGCGTAAATGAAGAACCATGTGTTTCTCTTTTAGGTTAGGTTAATGCACTTATCGTGAAACTGTTATATAACTTTACAGGTTTCCTCAACAAGTGCTTTTAAATTCAAGGTTTGAAAGGCCTACTAGCCCAGATTCAAGTACAAGTTTGGAGTAAGCTGAGTGGGGCTAAGGAATGGAGTAGCTGGAGCTATTGGCCCTTTCCATGAGGGAAGGGAACAAGGCAGAGAGCTGTGTTGGTAAGACTGTAGCTCTCTTAAGATATGTCTACACAGCCCATGGCAGCAAGCCTCCCAATCTGGGTCAACAGACTCAGTCTGGCAAGGCTCATGCTTTTGCTTTAAAAATAGTGTGTAGACAGTGCTTTGAAATTGTGGCTCTGGCCGGAGCTCAGGCTCTGATGCCTAGGGAGCGGGGTGGGTTTCAGAGCCCAAGCCACAACTTCAAAGCACTCTCTATACAACTATTTTTAGAGTGCTAGTGTGAGCCCTGCTACCCCAAGTCTGTTGACCCAGGCTGAGAAGCTGGCTGCTGCAGGCTATGTAAACATACATGATTTGAAACAGCAGCTCCCCTTACTGCAGTTCCGATGCAGAGCAGCTGCAGTGTCTTTGAGTGTGTTTCTTCCAACAGTGCAGGTTTACTAGGGAGTTTCTGTTTAGGTTTGGAACCTCTACTTCTATCTAGTTCATTCTTACGTTTTTGAAACAATGTGCTGCTCTTATATTGAAAGGAAGGCTTCATTATAGCTACAGGCACAGGAGTTTCTAGTCTGATACCTCTATCACAAGCATGGAAAAAAGAGTTGTGTTGTCTCATATATTCAGTGATCACAACTCCATTTATCCAGGGGTGGCCAACCTGAGCCTGAAAAGGAGCCAGAATTTACCAATGTACATCGCCAAAGACCCACAGTAATATCAGCAGACCCCCCCATCAGCTCATCTCACCCCCCTGCTCCCAGCGCCTCCCACCCACTAGTAGCCCTGACGATCAGCACTTTCCCCTCCCTCCCTGCACCTCTCAATCAGCTGTTTCGTGGCATGTAGGAGGTCTCTGGGGGGAAGGGGTGGAGTGGGGGCAGGGCTTGTAGCAGAGCCAGGGGTTGAGCAGTGAGCACCCCCCTGCACATTGGAAAGTTGGCACCTGGAGTTGGTGCCTATACAAGGAGCCACATATTAACTTCTGAAGAGCCGCATGTGGCTCCAGAGCCACAGGTTGGCCACTCCTGATTTATTCCTTTAAAAAAAAAAAATCTTTTCTCCCCTTCCCCTGAAAAAAGCCACTGTTGTGCTTTAACTAATAAATGGTATGTTTGGTCCAAATATTTTTGTTGCCTTATTGGCTTGAGGAAAGTGGCTGCCACTAACTGGGCCATCATTTTATTTTTTTATGTATAAAATACACACAGAAGAAGAAATATTTATGTGCATGTGTAATATAAATTCTCCTTCTCCTCTGTCACTTGCCAAAAGTTCACTACTGTGCCGTTTTTTTTATTTGATTTTTTTGTTGATAATTAGTGCCCCATAATTGTTGTTAATTGTGATATACTGAAATTCTCATAGATGCTGTGAGCCTTGGAGACACCTTAGCCGGTCTTACAGTGTATGGGAGTAACGAACGTGATCCTTATGTCACTATTAAAAATACTGTAAGTATATATATATTTTTTAAATCTTGTGCGGTCTTTCAAGGTTTAGGCATCTTAAATAGCTTAAACTAAATATTACATACAATTTTCAAAAGTGCCTATGGGACTTAGGCTCCTAGATGCCTAAGGCCATGCCTACACTACAGATTTTGGTTGACACAAATTACATTTTCACAAAGCCCCCAAATTACGATAATGCTTGTGTGCGTGTATACTTGGCTGCTTGCATCAGGGCTGTGCATACTCAACAGGAGTGCTTGTGTCGATGCGAAGCGTGGTGCATCACGCTTTGCAATCCCAATGTACTGCTGTCCGATGCAGTGCCTTCTGGGAAGTTTTTGCAGTGTGTAGTGAGATAAAATGACTTGCCCAGAGATCTCTGG